TCCAGGAACTGGCAGTAGGACTGGGAGTTGAGCTTGACTCCATCCTCAACCCGAAAAGGCCCCACAAGCTCATCTTTGATGATACCAGCCCAAACCAGTACTCCACCTCCACCTTGCTGGCGTCTGAGTCGGACTGGAGCTCTCTGCCCTTTACCAATCCAGCCACGGGCCCATCCATCTGGCCCATCAAGACTCACTCTCATTTCATCAGTCCATAAAACCTTAGAAAAATCAGTCTTGAGATATTTCTTGGCCCAGTCTTGACGTTTCAGCTTGTGTGTCTTGTTCAGTGGTGGTCGTCTTTCAGCCTTTCTTACCTTGGCCATGTCTCTGAGTATTGCACACCTTGTGCTTTTGGGCACTCCAGTGATGTTGCAGCTCTGAAATATGGCCAAACTGGTGGCAAGTGGCATCGTGGCAGCTGCACGCTTGACTTTTCTCAGTTCATGGGCAGTTATTTTGCGCCTTGGTTTTTCCACACGCTTCTTGCGACCCTGTTGACTATTTTGAATGAAACGCTTGATTGTTCGATGATCACGCTTCAGAAGCTTTGCAATTTTAAGAGTGCTGCATCCCTCTGCAAGATATCTCACTATTTTTGACTTTTCTGAGCCTGTCAAGTCCTTCTTTTGACCCATTTTGCCAAAGGAAAGGAAGTTGCCTAATAATTATGCACACCTGATATAGGGTGTTGATGTCATTAGACCACAGCCCTTCTCATTACAGAGATGCACATCAGCTAATATGCTTAATTGGTAGTAGGCTTTCGAGCCTATACAGCTTGGAGTAAGACAACATGCATAAAGAGGATGATGTGGTCAAAATACTCATTTGCCTAATAATTCTGCACTCCCTGTATATTGCTGTAAAACCCGTGGTAGACGGTCTGGTCTGACCAAATGGTAGGTGAATTCTCAGACAACTCCGGGAGGAACATGCTTCTATCATTCCAAGTGGTTAAGAAATTCTGCCACATAAGTAGGTCTGCTGCAGATTTAGCATCCAGGGTCAGTCAATTTATCGTCAAAAAAGTGTGGAAAAAGACAAAGCAATCTGGAGATAAAGGCGCGGCCTTGTGGAATTATGCGCATAGCAAAGGAACCTAATAGGGATTGTAACTCTTTATGATTGCATGAAGCTAGAAGAAGATAGTGATTGATGCAAGTGAGTATGTTCCCTATTTTTTCCTGTGGTAAGCTTGCTTGCATGGAAGCAGAATCTAGTTGGATGCCTAGGAAGGTGATGATAGTGTCTGGGCCTTCTGTTTTCTTAGGGGATACTGAGATCCCAAAGTAGTCAAAAATGCTAATGGCTTCCCTGAGGCTTATTGGGCGAAAGGTGTTTTCTTCGACCATCAAAAAGTCATCTAGATAGTGGATGACTGTGGGGCATCTGGATATGTTTAGTAACAACCAGCATAGAGTCTCTGCAAAAATGTGAAAGATTTTTGGGCTACTTTTTGACCCAAAAGTCAAGCGTGAAAAATAAATTGTAACTGCCTTCCCATTTAATGTAATGTAGGTGCCAAAGTGTGGGATGGATTGGTAGTAGTCTAAATGCGTTAATGATATCAGTCTTGCTTAACCAGGCTCCCACCCCCGCTTTAATGATAACTGTAATGGCATAGTCAATGGTGGCATACTGTAAGGAAAACTCCTCAAAGGGAATCAGGGAGTTGAGACTCGGAATTTCCAAAGTGTGGGGTGCTGATAAGTCAATGATCAGTCTTTGTTTGAGGGAGGTTTTCCATGTGACAACCCCAATGGGGTTTGTTCTCCATGCAGTAAATGGTGGGGATTGGAAAGGCCCTAATAAAAAACCCTCAGCAAGTTCTTGTGCTATGAGAGTGTTCACAGCCGTGGGATTCTGCTGCGCTGAGTGCAACTTTGGGCATTCTAGATTACCTGAAGGCATGTGTATAATACCTGTATGGAAAGCCTCAGAAAATCCTGAGATTGGGAAATCCACCAGAAGTCTAGAAGGGTGTGTCGATAGTAAATCTGACAATGTATTGATGTTGACAGACGTTAAGTAGGGCTTAGGGTACATTTTATTGGGACACATGGTTTTAGCATGTGCCCGGAAACACTTAGAACATATATGCAAAAGCCTGCATGCACTAAAACTGCATGTACCAACATTGAAATTATTGCAGGTTTGTGATTTACCGAAAAAGAAAATGGGACGACCTAACTTGTCCCTAGCAGTTTTCTCTGTTCTGCCAGAGGTGCTAGGAACCGGAGCATAGGGGTGATCCTCCTCTGAGTTGGGACAGAAAATTGTCGTATGAGTAGAGGATGAACAGGATGCACAAGCTGGCGTTTTTAAACCTGCAAAGTGTCTGCAGAAAATTTCTGTATCAAGTTTGCTCCAATTTCAGAATTGTGAGAGAGCACCAGACACTTTGGCCGAAAAAGACCCGTGACTTAAAGATTGCTGTTCACAAGCGCAAACCATCCAACTTGAAGGAGCTGGAGCAGTTTTGGAAGGAGGAATGGGCAAAAATCCCAGTGGTAAGATGTGGCAAGCTCATAGAGACTTATCCAAAGTGACTTGGCGCTGTGATTGCCGCAAAAGGTAGCTCTACAAAGTATTGACTTTAGGGGGGTGAATAGTTATGCACATTGACCTTTTCTGTTATTTTGTCCTATTTGTTGTTTGCTTCACAATAAAAAAAATAAAAAAACATCTTCAAAGTTGTAAATTAATTGATGCAAATCCTCAAACAATCCATGTGATTCCAGGTTTTGAGGGAACAAAACACGTAAAATGCCAATGGGGTGAATACTTTTGCAAGGCACTGTATATGCATGGTGTATGACAAGAGACAGGTAGGGGTCAGTATATCAGCTTATTTAATCGAAAAGCTGTTTTTGTGTGCTCCTGTGCACTAAATATTAGCCGTATGAGTTTTGTGCTATGTGTAGCTCAGTAAATGAGAAAATGTACGAAAATAGGCTGGCCCCCGTTCGGGAGTTTGTAAATGAAAATGCCAATGAGTGTGACCCATGGTACTCGTTCGGCAGAAAAGTTTGAACGAAAACAGTTGTATAGTTGTGACCATGTTGTAATGGAAAGAGACCGGTAGGGGTCAGTATGTGGAGTATTTCCGAAATGCTGTGTTTGTGTGATTTATGTGCACAAAAGATTAGCAGATTTTGAGAAAGGAAAACGTACAAACAGGTTGGCCCCCTTTCGGGAGTTTGTATAAACGAATGCCAGGTAATGTAACCAAAGGATTTAATTCGTCAAACAAGCAGTGAACGAACTGTTTGTACAAAACAGTCATGGTATGTAATGAAACATGTGAAACCATGTGAATGTAAAAGTATAGACCCGACACCTGATGATGCTGTGGGACCCTGCCTGGCACGACGGGTAGGTCATGGCTTATGGTTTTGTGAGTATCTGGACTCTATCCTCAGCGATGACTTTTAAGAAGTAGCTGTTTGGACGGAAAACCCTCGTGCCTGAAACAGTTAGAGTAGGAGAACTTCGTGGAGAACAGGTACTTTCCAAAATGGCGATCTGTACAAAACTGGAAGTGGTCGCATGCAAATCTTTAGACCTTGGACTGTATGGAATAAGGTAAGGAGTTCCCTTAAGTAGGTAAGTAACATATAAGCCCCTCCCACAATTACAGGCCAAACAGCCTTAATACATATATATATAAATTAATCCAAGAGGGCTGCACTCACCTGAACATGCATACATTATAGGGTGCTGCTGGGGCCAAAATATACAACATACAAAATACACAATCCAGCGCACTCGCTTATTTACTAAACAATGATTTCAAATCTTACAGACTGTAATAGGTTTATTTAAAAACACCTAGGCAGGTGGTTTCATTTATATATTTGGCCAAGGCCAACTCTTTGGTTTTGCACACGTCCCTGTTACAGGTGCCTCATTCCAGGATCCTATTTAGCCTTGACTTGCAGAGAGTCCCAGGAGGAAATATTTCCCAAGTAAGTGGATTAATCTCATAAAAGCAGGCATTAGGCTGCTAGAATAAGACTTTACAAGAATGCGGTACACTGACGTTGTGGCAGGTTTATGCAATATATGATCATATACTGAAACTAAACCCCCATTATTTTTGGCCTAGGTGAGGTGTTTTTAAATAAAACTATTACAATCTGTGAGATTTGTAATCATTGTTTAGTGAATAAGCGAGTGCGCTGGATTGTGTATTTTGTACGTTGTGTGTGTATATATATATATATATAAAATGGGTTGTCAGGCAGACCCTCCAATCGGGATAGCCGCGTTAGCTAAGGTTTCCATTCTGTTGGGGGGTGGTGATCAGCGGAGAATGCTATACCGCCCTGCAGTGAAAAGCCTACATTTTGCAGGAAGGCATAGCACGCCCACTGGACTTGAATTATGCAAATCTATTGACATAGCCGATCCTGGGCAGGTGCACAGTGCCCAGGCACTCTGTGAGTAGAGGCACTTTGCTGTTGTAGGCCCCGCCCCCTTGCTAGGTCCCGCCCTTTGTTTTAAGCTCCGCCTCCTGTCTGAAGGCCCTCAGAGCTCCTGGAAGGCTGGCTGGGCATGAAGATAAAGCTGGAAGGTGAGCACACACAGGGAAGGGGGGCTACATAAGGGCACATGAGGGGAAGGGGCTAAACACGGTGAAAGGGTTAATGTTGTAATGGACTCTAATCCCCTCGGTTCTCGATCCCTCGGTCACCATAATCAACGTTGATGGAGAATCATTTGTAAGCAATAACACACGGACAACAGCTTTACAAGACTCTCAAATGAGTGTATTCCAGAGCTGGCTTTTATACATAGTTTGCTTACATTAGCCATGGTATATGCAAATACAGTACAGACTATAAGATTTATTACTTCCTTGTATTACGTTATTCTGACAATGGAAAGATAAGCTTTTGCATACGTCTGGAAAAGAATATCCTTAAAATCGGAATGGGCAAGACATCCTGAAATTTAGCATTGTCTTACATCCTATAGAAGAAATACCTTAGTCTGTCACAGTCAGCATATGATTGTCGTATATTGACTTTAAGTATTCAATATCCCTTCAGTCAGCAATAATCATGTTATAAACCTTATAAAAGCATAAAATACATATAAACAAGTTAACTATTTAATATTCTTACATTCCCCTCTTTGAGCAATAAAACAATTGCTCATCTTATCGATAAAATCTTACCAGGACAGAGAAACTTCCACATGGTATTTTCAGGGGTGCTAGTCACTCCCTGCGGGACTTTCATTAATTTCTTCACCTCGATTCCCATGTGGTAATTCCTAAGGCCCAGTTTAAAGATGGGTTGATACTCTACAGTGGCAGAGAGGAGAATTTCTAATTGTTTCTGTTCTGCATTATGGATTAATTTCTGTACTCTCTTCCTCAATGTACAAGTAAAGTGACAGTTATATAAAATCATACACAATAAAATCAGGACTATAATAACAAAAGGATAGAAGAATGATTTCATTATCTGGATCCAGTAGGGGACCAACCAGTGAAGCATCGTACCAATGATGGGCTAAATCATTCTGAATTTGTGAACTCACCTTAAGGAGTTCTCCTTTTAGGATATGTGTGGCTACCTGTGTATGTTATCTTTGGGAAAAATATAGTCCCCTGTGTATGTGGGTGCCCACCAGGTTAAATTCTTGGCAAAAAGATCATAAACTGGTACTGGTAATGTGTTAAATTGACAAGCTAATTTAACATCCTTTGATGTTGTATGATATAATGTAAAATAGCATGAGCATGAAAAATGTGAAACATTACCAGTTAACCATCCATTGCATTTACTGGATTGGGGTTTTAGAAGTAACCATTCATTATCTGTGAGGTTACACATTCCTCTAATCTTCTCTAGTTTAGAAATCGTTAGTGTGTCTTCTAATGCCAATCCTTGTTGTTGTATCCATAAATACCTGATGGCACAAGTACTCCAGTTACTTAGACCTGTAGTGAATTTCATAGTTGCAACAGTTAAATTATCTAAATAATTATACATTGATTTATCTAAATCCAATCCTGTAACCTGTGATTTAACAACAGTTGGAGCCCAGTTTGCAGTAGCATGGAAACCAGTCCCTATATGCATACTGGCTGTATTTAACTTATTCTTGAGGGTCTCCATATCTATAACTATTTAGTATACCCATAGTGGTTCCAGCACCTCCTAACAGTGTGTCATACCATTCCCTTTTCTGCCTTTTGTTTGTTGTGTTACATAATGTTACAACAGGAGTAGTGATTTTTAATGACACATGTACAGCTTGTAAGAAGGCAGTTGTATTAATAAATGTGGACGGAATAGGTGTGTGTGTGTGTGTCGTTGTTGACTTTTGGTTCTATGGTAGAGGATAAAGGACAGTAATAAGGTGTAAAAATATAAGGTAGTGTATAGTTCTCAATTGTAGTGTCGTTCATAATGACTAACATTTGTCCCCTTCTCCAATTAATGATACCAGTTATATAATCATTATTAAAAGTAATAAGGCCTGTCTGTTTACATTGATATGCAACCTTAACTGTGCACATTTCTGCGTTATAAGATCTAACAATTTTCTGTGAACCTTCAAACAAACATAATGCATCGGTTTCATTAGCTGTAGACACATTTCATATGGGTAACTGGTACTTATAAGGGTTACTATTTGTCCAATTCATCCAAATGCGTTCAGTAAATGAATGATTGCATATTGCATGCTGATAGAAAGGTGGTGGAGAAAGGTTCTTGAGGGGGCGTGTGTGACGAATGCTAGATGAGGGCTAAGGCCTAATTGGGCTGGGGGTATTGAAGAATTGTTCATCATGTCAGAGTCTTTTTCAGAAACAACAGGTTTCAAACTTGCCATTGACTTGTACTCATAATGGCATTCAAGGAACAATATCAGAGGGAGTATAACAACTCCAGAAAGCATAGCGCACAACATAATCTTGGTCTCAGGTACGTATGATCCTCTCAATCTACGATATGGTGTAAAAGCCATGATGCTTCGCTGAGGAGAAATTCTTCTGTTTCCGAGCGAGGAGTGGTGTTGTCTTCCTTGGTTCCCCTCTTTGGACACAGCTTCACTCGGGATGCGTGAATCCAGATGTCATGGGAATCTGTGAGGACAGCGGTTCTGGGTACAGCAATCACAGTAGCAGGTGGTCCAAAAGGGTATCCTCCTTTCTTGGTCCTGTTCAGCTGACGGATATACACCTTGTCACCGGGCTGGTATGAATGAGTAGGATCCTGTGAAGGTAAGGGAAAACTGCGAAGAAACATTGTCATACATACCATTCGGTTTTATCAACAATTCCTGTACATATTGTTCTTGTATTAGCTGTAAATCCCCAGACATTATAACAAGCGGTTCCCTGGCCCAGGGTGTGGGAAAAGGTCATCCCATCAAAATCTCAAATGGAGATAATTTAGTCACCTTGTGAGGAATCACTCTTATCTCAGCTAAAATAGCTGGTAGATATCTAGTCCAATTTACCCATGTTCCTGGGTAAATTCTGGGCTTTTCCTTAATAGTCCTATTCATCCTTTCAACTACCCCTGTATTCTGTGGATGATAGGGTATATGAAACTGCCAGGTAACTTGCAAGAATTTAGCAAGTTCCTGGGCAACCCTACTTGCAAAAACCGGGCCATTATCAGAGCCAATCTGCAGAGGGCAGCCATACCTGGGAATAATTTCAGTAACAATAAACTTCACTAGCATCTTCCCTAGATGTCACAAAGGCATCATGCCATCTACTAAACTGATCAACTATGACCAGTAAGTATTGCTGTTTCTTACCAATTTTGGATACATGAATAAAATCAATCTGTAAGTGTGTAAAAAGAGCAGTGTTCACACGATCTTACAAAAGACTGTACATGCTGCCTGAGATTCCTAATATAAAATGAATTCATGAAGAATTGAATGGTGCTTGCTATGTGCCTGACTGATGAAAATAAATCAGCTTGCTTCAAGTATGCCTATTCTTCAAGTATGCCTATTCTCCCCTCTTTAGAGAACAGATCATTTTGATCTTTCTCTAAACCTTGTTTAATCCAAAAGACAGATTCTGGGTATTTAAAAAAGAATCTCATAACCACTGAAGCGCTGGGCTGTCATGTGTTGTGTGGTGAGATTTGTCATCAGCTGAGTGACCTGGTGACTGGCATGAAGTATTGTAGGATGCCCTAGTGTGATAGTAGTAGCAGTTTCAACAGCCATTGCACATGCTATCAATGCTCTGAGACACGCCGGCATACCCTGTACCGGAGCTCGAACTACTTTGGAAAAGAATGCTATGGGACGCATACCGCCTCCTTGCTCTTGTGCACAGACGCGGCCATGGTTTTACAATTGTCCCAAGCATACAAATGAAATGGTTTACAATACACAGGTAGTCCTAAAGCCTGGGCTTGCACAATAACAACTGTAAGGGCAATATATGCAGCTAGCATGTCTGGTGACCAGCAGACATTTTCAGGGCTGTCAGAACGTACAGCCTCCCTTAGGATTGAGTCATAATGGGAGCATTCAGGGATCCATTGGTGGCAGTAATTAATCATGCCGAGGAAGGTGAGCAACTCCTTCCGAGTAGTGGGTGTAGGAATCCTCTGAATGACCTCAATACGTTTTGGACTCAATTGTCTGGTGCCTAAAGCCAGAACAAAACCTAAGTATTCAACCTTTGATTTACACAATTGCATTTTGTGTTTAACAACCTTGTGACCTACAGTTGCTGACAGTATCCACAGTGCTTGCCTCATAGCTAGGGCTACATAACAACAAATCATCAACATTTTGCAAAAAGGACGGAACCATGACCGGTGGTCCATGTTTTTTAGAGTATGTTGGAGTACCAACGAATAAACAGCTGGGGAATCCACATAGCCTTGGGTAAGTGTGTCCAGGTAAACTGACAGCCTTCAAAAAATAAAAACCATAAGTAGCTGTGTCTCTTGATCAATAGGTATAGAAAAAATGCATTACTTAAATCAATGACAGTGAAGCAAGTGGCATCATGTGGAATGGCTGTAATGAGGGATGTCACATCAGGGACAATGGGTGAAATGGGCACAATTAAACTATTCAGGGCTCTAAAGTCCTGTACTAAGCGATATGCTGGCCAGTGGTGTTGGGAGTGGGTCTGGTGTTGTTCTTGCCTACAGGGCATATTTTGAGAATTGTGGGGTTGTTGGGGTGTGTGGGGTTTCCTGGGGTGTGGACACTCATTCCTCCAGTGGCCATATTGGCCACAGTTGAAACAAGTGTTCCTGTCTATTCCTCCTTGGTTACCCCTATAACCCTGATTTCCCTGTCTCCATCCCCTTGCCCCTCTTTGACCACCCCTTCCACGGGCTTTATGTGCTCCATCCCATCCTCGCTCTCAGCCTGTGTAGCTGGACATAATATGTTGCAATCCCTGAGCATAATAAGCAACCTTACTTTCCTAAATCTTTTCTTAATTCAAAACAACCTGCATTTTCCTTTTCTATAACCTTGGTAAGAAACTCTGAGCTATCCAAATTGGCCCAGTCTGAAATCAATTGTTTCACAAGCAAAGAATACTGTGGCAACATATTACCAAGGCATGACTGTATTTTAAAGATATCTATATCATCTCCAGACATCAAACCTGCCTCATCCTTCCAACACTTGTAAAATTTCCTTACAAAAATCATATTACCAATCTCTTCCTTTGCATCTTGCTTATATGCCAAAGCAGTGAATATAGACTGCTTATTCTTCCATAATCCCAACATTTCAGCTTCCACCTTGTTCCAAATATTAGCACATCTTACTGAAGTACTAAGCTCATAATCACCAATTCATTTCAAACCATATAACTCATACTCAGCATCCAATGTAATATTACACGTCATCTCACAAAGCAATATCTTTGTAGAAACACATAATGGGTACCCAGCAGATATGCCAATACAGAAATCACATTTATGGGCACACAACTACACACTCTGTCTCCCTCCTAGGAAACACGGATAGACACAATATAAAAGCAATCTTAAACTAACACTTCCAAATCTCCAACTATTCTTGGCCAAAACACTAGTATTCAACAACTAATAAAACAGTTATTTGCTAGGTTATTTGGCTGTCATTCTTATCAGTATCACTAGACTGTGACAAACTGATTCACATATAATTTAAAACAATACAGCAACATAAATTAAACCACTTTCAAGTTAAACTGCACACTTATCACACATTATCACAATCACCATTTACACAGAATAAACAGTTAACAGCTGTATTCAGAACATATTATTGGAAGGTATACCAATTTTAGTTTAGATTTATTTTAGGGATTCTTATGTATACATTTTCTTAATTAACTTCATTACTTTAATCTACTATAGTATTGTATTTAAAGAAAGGATCCATTTATATAGCGCGCTCATAACTCAACTATTTGTATAAAACTTCCATTAACTAATCTGAGATGATGCTGCATCAACTTAAATCTTATAGAAATTGAACAAACATCTGGACCAGATTAAACAGACATGGTTTCACCTGAATCTTTCAGAACTCTCAGAGACTTAAAAAATTTATACTATACCATGTTTTTTTTTTTTTTGAATTTGACAATTTTTATTCGTTTTTCGTTGGAGGCATTACATAGAATGTCTCGGGGTACAGAATAGAAAGGGAGTAAGAGGGTGCAAATAATAAGTACAATCACGGTATAATGCAATTAGGATAGGATACAAAAGAGAAGGAGGGAAGGGGGAAGTTTGTTAGTTATGCCTTGTTGGGGTAGCGTTCCATGTGCACACTGCGTTAGGGCTAGTCTCGTACTGTCCAAGAGTGCTATTGAACAAGAAGTGCATTAGGGGTGTTTCATGATGGATGGCTGTTTTTTTGTGATGCGCTCAGTTGCGCGTGTGTAGATTGCAGGTGCCTATCTAAT